CGAGACGTAATTCGCTTATCGCAAATTAAGCCTCATCGGTATTATTCCTGAGGACATCGGTATCTTACGTTAGATACTACCATTTGTGCTGCTCACGGTTTTATTGTAAAAAGCTATATTTTCTAGAGGTTGGGATATCTGGGTATAGACTGAATCTCCCCTCGCAACTCGGTATACTCTTGCTGCATCGTTCAACAATTTTTCTCCGCAAAGCACTTTCATTCCACCAACGACAGGGCGTCACACACACCATGTCTATATAGACAAAGTTAGCGTTCAGTCCTGACCGATGATTCCTTGAGTTATCTAGGATGCAGTCGGTGTGATTTTATTGCAAATTCTTCCAGTGATGCACATGTGCCAGTTAATCACCCTCGCCTATTTGCGGCTCGACCGAAGGTGAACTTTGTGTAATCTCTTGTAGAGTGAGAAGATTTGGGAATTTTAAACCGAAATACCATCCCGTAATTGAAGTCATTCAATTCTGAAAAGCCGTAAAGCACTGTATGGCAGTTTCCTCCTCATTGGGAATCATCGGCAGCGCCTGCCTACGAAAATCCGGAGAGTTTTCAACTTGCAACCTCCTTGCTAGAAGCCAAGAACGGTTGATCAGCATGCGATTAACGCGCACGTATGCAGGATTAGCACCACTCGTCATTCAGCTTTGAAATACACATTGCAAGGTTGTTTACTGACTGGCTCCTCGAACGATTACTCCTCAAGTGAACACTTCGCTCGGATGAATTATTCTTCCTTCTGGGTTGCTTAAAGGTTGCCGAAATTGTGGATGGATTTGAAAACTTTTCATCTTTGGTCAGTTGTGTTAAAGTTGAGGTGGATTGAATCTAGCTTCCAGATATAAGACACTTTGGTTAAGCACATTCATTGGGGCATGGCATAGGGAAAATTCGGTCCCGTTTGGTCCTGCATTCATTAAGACAGTGCGTCCTTGAGTGTTCTTGGCCTCAAGAGCCCTGAAAGAATAAAATTGTGAGAAAATCTCCAACCAGTTCAACCGCTGGGTTTTAGTTTAATGATTCTGAGCATACAACTTAAGTTTTTCCAATCCAGACCATGCTGAAATGCCGAAAGACCTATAGCATTCGTATCTTTTTTGGAAAATATAAGTTGTGCACATCTCACGAGTCTCCATGTCGGTTGGAAACCATAACTTCGATACTAAAACTTGGAGACCGCTGTTCGGACATGAGTGGCTAAACAGTAGTGCGAGTAGCTCGCACAGAAAAGCGTTATATCCCGTATAGGTTTGAAGGACTCACATTGTTCACCACCACTTATGTTTGAACGCATTCAGATCTGTTGATTCCTATTAAGAAAGGAATAGGTGGATGGTAACTCAGAGCTTTCAAACATGGGCTGACTTTAATCCTGAAATGAAATATCCGATATAGTATCTCAGTCTTCTTATATCACCATGAAATTATCGGCTACTTTGTCCGATGTATGTATCCTGGGGCGGATTACACTTGGCAGAAAGCAGGACTGCGTGGTGAAGGCTAATTTCCTGAAAGCATGTCTTTCTAAGAATCAGCTACATCTGGCGTGCGAGGCGACGGATCACTCAGAAAGGGCCGCACGATAAATGGTGTGTTCTTTTGACTTCACGGAAAGTTTTGACTCTGTCATCCATTATTTTATTATTAGTGGACCACTATCCTTCCAGATGAGTCTTTCTCTTCACGTTAATGGGTACGAAAGTCTTAGGAACTTCCAGGTGGCTGTGGGTAAATTCTTCTCTTCAAGCATCACATGGTTCATCCTGGTGGAAAACAAAAAAGTTATGAGGTATGTCATACGTCAAGGACCCCCAAAGCTTCTCAACATTTGCTATATACGTTTTTGCTGATGTTGATCTTTGTGCTTGCAGGTAGGCTAATTTCCCGAAATTTTTCGAGTTGTTGGTTGTTTATTGAACTGTCTGGCACCATCCTGATATCTCCACCAATGGGTGCCTTTCCTTGTTTAAATAGATTTCCAACTGTGCTACAAATTACCCATATGTCGTTTTCCCATAATGCGTTCGCAAACAACATCTGAATGCCTCAGATTCATCCAAAAAATTGAGGGATTGTTGCTAATTTCAATGATTCGCTGACAGAATGAAAAATTTTGAAAATTTTCACCGGGATTTGTCCTGCAACTCATGGAAGCTTGTGCCGACAAACGAAGAAATATTCAATTTTACCCATACTATCAGTAAGCTGTAAGTAGCTCAGAAGAATAATAACCAATAAGGACAGTAGACCTTCTGCCTGGGGACTCGACACCCGAAAGCCAGGCAACACGTGACCACAGCATGCGAATTTCGTGAAAGAAGTATCAGTGATGCCACATGCTGTCTAAATGCAACCCAATCATACAGGATATCAGCTATTCGTGTTTGAATGGTTTGGTCTTCAACCATTAGCCGTGGGGTTATCAGTTAATGGAATGAGGCCCGTTGCGAGTACCGATGGGAAGGAAACGGCTGTACAGCGGTTCTAGATTTTTCTGTGTACTGGCATCACTCACAGGACACTGAAGGAACCAAACGTACCATAGAAAACATTTGACCAGCTGAGTAGATCTCTTAGTTTATCAGTTAGCGAGCTGTTTGTCCACAGTGATTCTTAAACTGTGACATATTTGAATTTCTTGCCGTAAGATAAGACAAAAATACAATATTTCGCATGAATTTAAGAGAGCCGCCTTGATTTGTTGTTGTAGAAACCGCGCAACATTGTTACCGGTCTCAATCAAAGTACCATGGTGACATTGTTGATCTGACTGCTTCATTCAGTGGACAAATCAACGGTTGGTTGCATGTTTGAACAAATATCGTCGCTTAATATGGTGGCGGGACAGATTCTATTGTCTCACCATACAGTGTTGGAGATGTTTCGGCTTCAAGGTATTTGACTCGAAGACGTAACATGGACGACAGTGAAGCACCAGTCTTATGATGTGGTATCACTGTCAAAGATGACGAACATGGACAGACACGCAGCATCCCGGCAGAGAATCATTAGTTCGAAACTTTGGATTCCGCCTAGAATACTTTTCGGAGTGACGATAATATACCTGTTTGTTACAGGTAAGTGCTTCAACGATCGGACTGCAGTGGAACGATTCGTTGGTGGTAGATTTGCCAGTCCTTATTTGATGGATGCATCCAAAAAAATGTTAACTTTGATTTTTGAGATTTCTGTTACCGAAGAATCGACAAGTTGTTATAGGAAGTTCACCGAACGTTCCATTAGTGTTTTTTTCTGTGGCCAGCCTTGAAGAAATAAAAACGACCAGTAAGGTTATCCACTGAGAACCTGGATGATACGTACGCATTGAGAAGAAGCAGACGACTTGAAGACGTTTCTCATTAATCTCCATACTGTACGGGTAAAACTACAAGATAGTACCCCTAGATAATGAATTACACCGTCTATATGATGGAGGCATTGACGAGTTTATCAGTTTTAAACGCTCTTTGGCCGGCTGGTGCTTGAAATTTACCAATTCTGTATGAACAAGTTTTAGTGTAAATTCTGATTTGGAGCCAGATAAACATGATGATAAAACATTATAAAAACTGAGCTTTGATATTCGGACAGAATATTTCTTCCAGTTGTTTACCCACTGATCATGGTAGCAAGTAATGTACGGAACGATTTGAAATGAATATCATGTTCTGAGATCTAAAAATTGGTAGTCCCTCGCGTGAATCCAAAGGCTTCCAGATCACTGTACTGAGCTAGTTTGGAGCCGTATCGCTCTGCAGTGAAGCCAATTGACTTGGGTTAGTAATCTTCTTTCACAATATTTGTCACAATATTTTGTCACAATATTTTCACAATATTCGTCAATTTACATGTCCCTACCTGCGGCCGTTAGGTCCCATTTGGTCTATCGACTCCAGAGTACTTGGTCAACAGAGAATAGTTTCGTTAGGGTGACTTAGTATAGAAGCTGAGCCAATTTGTCATGGGCTAAGCGATACCCGATTTCAAGACAGAATCTAGAGGAGTCTTTCTCTTATCTAGTTCATTTCTGAAGGCCCCTGGTGGGTATGACTAAAGTGTCTATGCAATGCGGGCTTTGGAAATTGTTTTGACGTGCGCTACCATTAGACAGGAGTTGATCAGATTCCTCATCAAATCAAACACCAGTTTACATAAGGATTAAATTGCAGAAACTTGTTTGGTATAATTCTAGGGGACCGGAACACGTCCCTCGACTTCGAGGTCTGTTTAGAGTGACGCAAAAGGCTTTTCATAAGAACGCATGCATCGACAAATTTTTCACTCGTGAACTCGTAGCTGGATTTGTCAGGGACTAGGCATTATTAGTGTCCGAGTAGAAATTTTGACAAGATTTGATGATTCGCTGGATACGAAGCAGAAAAGTTGTACAAGACCGTGAAATTGCGGGCAATGTCGGCTTCCATCCTCCCCAAAAACGATGTTCAGCTGCGCCTACCTATTTGCCAGCTTTCCACACTTGTGTATGTGCTCTTGCCTGCGCTACCGATCACACGTTCAACAAGTGACCTAGATGTCAGCTAGTTCTGATCATCGCGTGTCACTGTGGAACTATTGTTGTTGTTCGATACAATCTGTACCGCACTGAGAACATATCAGAAAGACGGATACTTTCATGCGAGGTTGCATGTACCCGAAGTGTCATTCGGAGAATATTGCTGAAATTTGTTCGTCCCACGGATAAAATGAAGCCTTGGCCCCGGGGTCTTTAAGCTTACTTTTTCCTCTTTCTTTGTTCACCTGATGGTTCACATCTATAAGAGTGGTTTATGTTGTCGTTGAACTCAAAGGACCACCATGAAAGTTTTTTTCTAAATTTCCCCCTATCCACGCCGAAATGATGGTGAATAAGCATGTTTCGTAATATAGTTTATTGTATCCGAAAATTTGCAAAGAAAGATTAAAGTACGATTAATTCACTCATTTTTTATTTCCATATCCAGGACCCTGGTCGCATTTGCCATCCTAACCAAATTTGTACATTTGGAATGCTCGATCCCCAATGTAGAAAAAAATAAAATTCCCTTCCTCTTGACTGATCTTGCTAAAATGTAATAGGAAAAAATAAACAGAAACTATGCAAGCCGAGGTGGTATTGCACGTTGTGTGATCGATATAAATTTATGGACTTACCTCCCAAAGTCTCTCCCCACAATACAGTGCCAGTTTCCTTCATAAGCCTCTTCCAGTTTAGTTTTCAAGTAGCCAGCAATCTCTTTAGATGAATTAAACCGAGAAACGGCCTCTTGGGCAAGCTGGACGACCTTGCTTTTCTTCTGTTCATTCATGTCGCAAACCTTGACAGTTGCATTTTGCTCACTCATCGCCTTTGTGGAGGATAATTGTCCGACAGACAAAATATTCCCACTCTGATGAAGTAATGCTGATAGTTTGTAATTTGTCAGAGTGAAACCTCATTTATAGCGAAGACAGATTCACTTGGTTTTGTCATTCAAGGCAACAGTATCTCTAAGCGTACTATTGCTCGACGTCTGTCGCTGCTTTGAGCATGTATGTGATGATGTGTGTATGTGATCCAGTAAACGATTGAATCTGCTCTCTAATGATTATCGCACTCTGCAAAAAATGTCACAGCTACAACTGTGTGCAAATTCGAGAGTTATGACTATCTGATATCATGTAGGTACATGTAGATACGTGTAGCTTGTGGAATTTCGCTGTTTGTATGCTTGTGCTTCTGATCACAAATTTTCAGATTGTATTTGATATCATGCGAAAGTGCAAAGTGGTTGAGGACTGTACGAACGTAGGTCCCGCCAACCCATCTACTTCTTCCTTATCTAATGGCATTTTTCAGCTAATGAATTGAAGGAAAGAGAAAATACACTCATTTGAAAAATCTTTGGTTTTTTCGAGAGACTCACCTGGAACCCAGCTGAATCTCTCGTTTGTGATGTTTTCAGGCAACTGAATATGCTACACCAGGCCGCCTCCTGTTTCAGTCGCTACGCTATTCGAGATGTCGCGAAACATGTATATTTATAATACACTATTCTTGAGCCCACGACCGGTTTCGCCCTTCAGTTGCCTGTGAACATCACAAACGAGAGAATCAGCTGGGTTCCAGGGGAGTCACTCGAAAAAACAAATTGGTTTGTAAGTGAGCGTATTTCGCTAATTTCGTGCAATTTGGTTTCAAGTAGGATACACTGTTGATGGAAACTCGGAGAGTGCGCCTACTCTAAGTACACTCATCTGCTTACCAGTTTCACCTTCACGACAGGCTCACTCGAATCCCTGGAATATCTGCTGTTTATGGTTTTCTTCAACTAACTGTGCTGCCAAAAGTTGGCTACAGGTTTTAACTGTATTCGGCGAATTTCGTGGATTTTAGATTCAAGCAAGAAATTGAGTTGACGGAGACTAAGGAAATTCTCCTAGATAATGGGCACAAAGTATGGCAAAAATGTTTGTGGGCGGTCGAAGAGTCGTCAGAAACCTTGTAAGTAGTTTCCGTTACGAATATGATGATGCCGTCTTCCTCTTGCAGGATTTGTATTGCGAAACAAGAAAATTTGGCCTCTAAAACACGGTAAGATAATGTCTAGCCTGAAATTCCATCGACAAATTTGGTCCTTGACATACATGGATGTTTGGTGTGCGGCCTGTTCCGGACTTCGGTACCGAGAATTTCGGAGAAAGAGCGAAATAAGACGTTCAAAGTGGTTTAGTCCCCTCGACGTTATGGCGTCCATTGTGATCCTATATCACCTGGACCGTCAGAAGACACGTATATTTTCAAATGGTTGCAAGGAAACTTTTGGAGATAGGAAATATTAAAACACCATTAACATTGCCATGCGAATGTTTACATTTTATAGGTGTGAACGGATGCTTTTTCCGTCCCCATTGGATATTCCTGAAGCGGTTGTACCTACAGTAAAACTTTACTGTTTATTCACCGTGCGTTTTCTACTGCTTTGCGAGACATGATCGCGAGCATTATGTCTGAACTGAAGTTAATCGCACTAAACTGTGCTGTCGTCATGGCTTAATTGAAAATACGGGGTGCGAAATGTTAGGACATGGGACTGCTTCCAAGTTTTCTCAAAAGATTGAGTGGTATGATTGGTGCGGAATCATGTGGAGAGCCTAGTCTGCTTGGTAGACTGAAATGTTTTTAACTCAAATTGAGTCAACAAGCTTACTATCATATCATATCATATCATATCATATCATATCATATCATATCATTAATATCATAAGGAAACTTTTGGAGATAGGAAATATTAAAACACCATTAACATTGCCATGCGAATGTTTACATTTTATAGGTGTGAACGGATGCTTTTTCCGTCCCCATTGGATATTCCTGAAGCGGTTGTACCTACAGTAAAACTTTACTGTTTATTCACCGTGCGTTTTCTACTGCTTTGCGAGACATGATCGCGAGCATTATGTCTGAACTGAAGTTAATCGCACTAAACTGTGCTGTCGTCATGGCTTAATTGAAAATACGGGGTGCGAAATGTTAGGACATGGGACTGCTTCCAAGTTTTCTCAAAAGATTGAGTGGTATGATTGGTGCGGAATCATGTGGAGAGCCTAGTCTGTAGACTAGACTGAAATGTTTTTAACTCAAATTGAGTCAACAAGCTTACTATCATATCATATCATATCATATCATATCATATCAAACGGGAGCGTTCAAGCAGTTATTGTTAGTGCTCCAATTTGTAGAATGTTAATATAGATCGTGATTTTCATGTACAAAGTTTCTGTGATCTGACCACTAGAAAACACTGCAGAAAAAAGTACGGCTCCATACTTGACATTACTGCTTATTTCTATGCCTTGTGCCTGAGAATTAGCCAAGTGTTTTTTCGTCTACGAAGCTCAAATTTTTTGGTTCTAAAACTTTGACTTTTTTATGTCAGCTGACTAAATGAGAAAGAGTTAGTTTCTTAGTTAAGTCCCATTCAATTGACCCATTCAACCAATAACAAAAGCTGTGTCTAAACATGATTAACTCTTGTTCCGAGTGAAGAAAATCGAATTTTATATACTACTGCTTTGCTGAGAGGCTGAGTCAATGTGGGCCTAATTAGATAAGAATGGGACCCTGGAGGCTCTTATTAAAAATGGACGATGCATTTGCGCTGATTTCACAAATACCACAATGTACGGTTCTTTAGGTAGACTGCCCTAACACTGTGACAGGGTACGTATGGAATGGCGCTCAGCTGACGGCGCCTGCGAGCAAATCACACCCCGGAGTGCTAACGAGTGGGTCGTGCAAGTGATCTGTTCTGAATTATTTCTATGTTCACGGCAGGTGAATGATGCCTTAACGAGTGAAAATTCCTTGGTGAATGATTCATGGGCGATCGATGCATAAGTAGACGATGCACGAAAGAGAGGTGAAGGGTTTAATACCTGTAGCCGGGCAAAAACCATAAGTGGTCGTTTCGATGGTCCGAAACTCTCTCACTTCGAAGCGACCATCATTGTGTGCTTGCCAGATTTTTTTGAGCATCAGGGACTTGAACGTGGTGTTTGTTACATTCGCCTCCGACTACTGGTTGAATGAACGCGCGTTGCCAGCTTACCCGTTTTGGATGTCTGTCGACGCAGATATATGTAGAACAAGTCAAATCTGCTGAATCTAAAGTCAGGAAGCCAAAAGTTTCGTTGAAATTAGTGCGGAATTTAAAAACCAAGTCAGGATATGAGGCAACAATTTAGCTACCTGCTTGATATTGTCAGCATTGGCTATGATTCTCTTCGGACTTCCGCTTTGAAAATTCGTAAATAGCTGTAAACGTTGTAGATAGCCCTACTTAATGTATCCAGCGGATGGGCTAAAGAAGATCTCGTGAGGTTTCTAAAAACTTTCCGACAGTCCACGATCGGTTTCACCATTATCAGGGCCCATCATTGGATGTATCCCCGAGTTTCCATCAAAGTAGTTTTTCACTTAAACCCAAATGGAACAGTTTCTGGCGAATACTCTGAGTTAAACGTGAATTCGGTTTTGCAAGGGAGTCGACTGAATCCCACTAAATCTCTCGTTTTTGACGGTCCACTTCGAATGATTTTATTGCACGAAGCTGCCCCATGTTCCAGGTGATAAGATTTTTGAGATATCGCAGTACGTTGTTGCCCAGACGTAACACACTACCCATAAAGTTACTGAAAATCAGGCCGTCCTAAACGAGATTCCTTCGAGTCTCCCCGGAAACCAAATTCATGCGCAAATGCGAGTAACTTACGTGACTGCCGTTTTCAAAACATTTTCACGTGTTTTCACATGCTCTATTGAACAGCTTTCCAATTTCTAACCAGACAAATTAATTAACGCATAAAAAGGTGATCTGACATCACGGCGTTCTTGGGCCGTTGTCTGATAAGTACACCAGAACCGAAGATCTTTTATCGCTAGGCTTCATTAAAGTTCCTTCCAAAAGTCCGGTTAAATCTACAGATAGTGAGATTGAATACTAAGTGTTGGGCGGTGGACTGTGGGCAATCTACTTAGGCTCTTTGTCTTGTTTGTTCCTCCCCGAACCCTTCTTTCAAGGACCTTTTTTCGGATAAGCACCCTACTAAACTGAAGTTGCCTCCGAATAATATCCCAGATTCTACCATACAGTCAATGCATCAAGACCCATTGGACTTCGGTACTGGACCATCGGAAGAATGCATGCATTTCTGATCTATTTGTAGGCAGTACAGCTAGAATTGTCGCGCAGTGCAATTTAAGTTCTCTAAGCTTACACCGTGGGCAAAATATTATAACGTACTGACCCTCAATGATATAACCGTTGTACGACATGTGGCACACATAAGAATTCCTGACATCATTATTAATTACACCTTATTGTTCGAAATGTTGCGCTCAACAGAAACTCAAACTGCCTTTCACTGTGAAAGCTCTACCCCTATCAGTTCACAGAGTCACTAGGAAATGTTATAAAATGGTGAATTGTACATGTCCGGAATAGGGTGCAAGAGAAATCAAATCCTCTGAGCGTTATAGGAATCGCATAGCCTCAGAATATGTGACTTTCCCCGTCTAGCTGCTTTTGGTGTTACTCAACTCTTCTAAACTATTTTCAAGCTGGCGTCATCGTTAATTATTTAAAAATTCCCCGTTTACAAACGACCAGTATATTGCAGTATCATTCAGGATGGACTCATCGCACATATCCCTTTATCAGTCCCTGACCACAGATAGGTCCTTCCCGGTCGAAGACCGCCTACACCTATGGTAAATCCTGGCAGATTAACAGTTAAGGCCATCAGTAGAGTCGTTAGATCGGCCTGTTGGGCAATACTTCAGTAAGCTAGTTGTTCAGCTTCG